AATCCATTATTATTATTATTATTATCATTACTGCAGGGAACACAGAAATAAATATTATAATGCAAAAAAAAAAAAAAAAAACATGCATCAAAACCAACAGAGTGATTTGAGTTCTTAGCATCCCAGAAACTATACAGAAAGGCATAAACTCCAACATGAATTTTAAAAACACCAGCATATCTTTGTAAATGCCCTGTAGGAAAAAACTATATTTTCTGCGAAAATGACGTCACTTCCGGTTTCAGGCAGGTAATGGTGGACATCAGATAGACCTGACGTTTATTCCAACATAGGAAGTGCTATGAGCAGCTGATCGGATCGGCAAGGCGTGTTTCTGGAATATTATGTTTTTGTTGCCGCAAATGATTTTCACGCAATTTTTGCAAAGCCACATGTGGAAAGAAACCATGACCTAGGACCAGCTGAATGCACAAGAAGTACGTACAACTCCTCGGATTTCATATGTAAAAAATATTATTACATTCGTTTACTGGTTGCAATTCTACTGGCCTTTAAAAATACGCTAAACGCAAAACGGAGTGTGCCCGCTCCCACGGCCATAAAGGGTTAAAGCAGACTAACCACAAGCTCATTTTCATTCCAACAAGTCATCTTCTGACCTGGACTAACAACACTGGTCTCTATGTGCAGCTGGCTGTGTCCCAATCCAGCGACCGCATGCTTCGTAGTGCGCATTTGGAGACCGATTACGTCACAGCGACGCGACAACGGCTGTCCCAATCCGAAGTGTACTCCAAATGCGCCGTTGATTTCCCCAAATTTGAAGTGTGGTTCGGTGTAGACTTTGTGGTCCCATATATCCCACAATTCATAGTGTGGCGGTGGGTGTGGATATTTTGTTCGGGCGGCCGAAGAGTAAACTTTCAAAAGTAAGTACTGAATATTATGTCACTTATTTGTGTGCGAATGTTTTATTAACGAAGTACATTAAAACATTACTTATTTAATATATCAGTCTACTCTTCATTTAATCAGAAACAGTTATCACATTTCCTTTTTACACATATATGTAAGGATTGAGCCAAATTTAGTAATGCCAACATATTAAAAGAACAATATTTGTCTCTTATATATATAATACATATATACACTGTCACATATACTTGTCTTTGAGTGAAGATTTAAGGTGATAGGAAATATAAATAAATGCAACTAGAATCTTTACTGAAGCTCAGTATTTGACACAGAGTTTAAGCTCACTGCTGTAATATATTATAATGACAATAACTATAATATTGGCCATATTATATTTACATTGCCAAAGTGAGATGACTTTATACTTTAGACTAGAATACTTTAGTCTCATGAACAACATTAGCTAATTGTTATTTACTAACTAATCTTAAAATGACTGTTCAGTACAGAAATGAAGCCCAACAGTCATGTTGTTACAGTCCTGTGGTCTCAGCCTCAGATACTCAACTAATCAAAGTGATGTCATAAAAAAAATAAACAAACAAAAAATCATTTTTTTTCCTTCATTTCTGTCAAACAATGCTGTATGAAACGTTTCTCGCGGCTAGTATCATGGTTTCTAGGCAATATGAGCAACGCGATAAAGACCATACCATCCCATTTCACAAGCCTCTCACTTCCACACTTCTCGTACTTCATAGTACCCGTTGTACGTAGTCCACGAAGTGCGCGTACTACGAAGCTGGAAGTCGCTGGATTGGGACACAGCCTGTGAGACCAGTGCTCAGGGACCATCTACAAAGTGCAACACTGAAAGAGCATCAGACACAAATTTGCTTCCAGCACTTTCACACAAATATCTACTGTCATTTTTTTCACCAAACTCTGTGGATCCTTTATTGGAAATTCAAATTTGATTCAAATAGTCAGACAAAAGAGGGTTATGAGGAAATGTTGTGTATTAGCAGGAAGTTATTGAATCATTATAAACCAAACAAAACATGTTTTTATAAACTCAAAGTCCATGTTTTTGGACTTTGAGCATTTGACCAGTGTTGTTGGTCCATGTGTGATTAATCCAGTCACACAGGATGAAAATAATCACAGAGGTACCCTGGGTAATCATGAAGCACAGACTGGCGTTTGTCATGTATCAGCTGATGGAACGTTTTGGGGGGATTTCCTGCTTTTATTGTTGTGCTGATTCAAATGTGTGCTGGCAGCTGTGAGTTTGTTCTTCAACAGTCGATGCCGCCTGAACAATGTTTCAACTTTGGACCGAGACCTGTAACACAATTCAACGCACCAAAGCATCCAACCTGAACAGGAAACAGAGACGGCTCGCCTTCAAAGTAAAAGCTGCTTCTTTTGAACATAGTATCAAAGAAAGTCTACACTATAAAATAGAAAAGACAGGTAAAAAAAAGTTTTGGGTTTTTTTTTTTAAATTGGGCAGAAATGAAACTACACTAAGCTCAAATATGTGACAGACATTTAATCCCATTTCATCCTGGGCTCATCCTGGGCTGGATTATCCAACACACACTCTGACCACAGGCCCAGGGGCCACGCACAGCAGGGCCCCATCCAAGAGACAGGAAACAAACCAACACAATAATAAAGAGCACCATTTGATTTTCTTACATTTTAACTCTTCAAGCCAAACACAGTAAAAACATGAGCATATATATGTTTTCTGATAAAATGATGTGACAGGTAGAACAGAGTAAAGTGGTGGTGTTACAGCCTTTCTCCCCTCTGCTGCCGAGGCTGTTAGTCTCTCCCAAACTCAGCTACAGGACTTCCAAATGAATGAAAGCAGCAGAAGTGGCTTTACAAATGAAAGAGGAAGAGGAGAAGAAGAGGAGAGGGAGACCATCCCTCCAGCTGAAAACATCGCACTTCCATTAAAGTTGGTGAGAAAATGTTGAGCAGGATGACCTGCTGGCTAATCTGGAGGCTGTAGCAGCAGCTCACAGTTACAGTGGATTTCCACTCATGAAAAAGCTCTGGCTGCTTCATTTCTCATTTCATATCAGAGACTTTAAAGCTTCAGTGAAGCTGTACTGTGATGCTTCCTTTCCATATTCCAGTGAGGCCTCCATAATGATTCCAGCTGTTCTGTGTACACACTGTGTGCCCTGTATGTCTAATTATTGAAGAAGGAAAAGAACCCGAGCATTCAAATCCAGCTGGCGAGGGTCCATCACACATCTGTGCCCAGGGCTCTGTAAGCTGAACATCCAGCCGTGGCCACATGGAGCCATCATGGATTTAGTGTGAACAATAAAATAGGCAGTGATGTTTCCACATCTGATCCACAACATAATGACATTAAAATGATATGATTACATGGAACTGGCAGATCCTGGTTCAGGTTCCAGTCTGCAGTCATGTCAGCCATCATGTCCCACCTTCACTGGAGGCTATCTTTGGCTTTATTGTCAAACTCTACTCTGATTGGCTGGCCTGGAATCCCTGTTACCCATAATGCAACAGGCGTCAAAAACGGGCAGAAAGAGTGTGAGATTTTTTACAAAGTGACAACAGTTCTTTTGTTTTTAATAACTTTGAGCCAAAGTGAGAGAAAAAGGAGCTTTATGTAAGGAATAAATGTGATGAATAAGTCATTACATCTACACCTGAATCACAACACTCCAGCAGCCGCAGCCATCGGCCATCAGCTGTGCAACACTCACACAAATATCTCAACTGGGTTTAATATTTAGGCACAAAGATCATTTATGTGCTTCAGCTCTTCTTACATTACCGTCAACACGTTTCAAAAGGAGCAGCTTTTACTTTGAAGGCCAGCTGTCTCTGTTTCCTATTTCCATTGTTGGATAATGGAACAGTGCATTAAATCGTGTTACATGAAAATAAGAAAAGTTTTCACATTGTTCAGGCAGAATCGAGCATTGAAGAATGAATTCACACATCAATAACACACGTGCAGATGACACCAATATACTGTGTTCAGGTGTGGAATTGCCACAGGTTTTGGAGATGATCACACAGGAATTAACTATATTAAAGAAGTGGTTTGATATAAATAAATTATCATTGAATCTAGATAAAACCAAATTTATGTTGTTTGGAAACCAAAAGAGAAACATCAAAGTAGAAATATGTGTTGACAATGTATATTTAGAAAGAGTAAATGAAATAAAATTTCTTGGGGTGATCACTGACCACAAGCTCTGTTGGAAGCCACATATTACTTATGTTCGGGGGAAACTGGCACGGGGCATTGCCGTCCTGGG